ACAAAGACATGTTATATGGTTTAATCCACCATATAACAAAAGCGTCAAAACCAACATCGGACATGCTTTCATCAGCCTTATTGAAAGATCTTTTCCAGCAGGCCACAAACTGAGGAAAATTTTCAACGGGAACACCATAAAGCTCAGCTACAGCCGCATGCCCAACGTCAAGCAAATAATAGATGGCCACAACAAAACCATCTTGAAGATAGCAGAAACAGCTCAGCCACAGAAAAACGAAGGGAACACGTGTAGCTGTAGGAAAAAAGAAGACTGCCCGCTAAAACGGAGAATGCCTGGTGAGTGAAGTCGTGTACCAAGCCACGGTCACAACCGGAGACAAAAAAGAGACATACATCGGTCTCACAGCTACTCAGTTCAAGGCAAGATACAGAAACCACCTGATGTCATTTAGACATGAAAAGAGAAGGAATGAGACTGTGCTGAGTAAGCACCTGTGGCAGCTAAAGGAGGCAAATAAGGAATTCGATATCACGTAGAAAATACTCGCCAAAGCAAAATCTTTCACCAACCTTACAAAACGCTGCAATCTATGTACAACAGAGAAGTTCTTTTTAATCTGTAGGCCTAACATGGCAACACTGAACAAGCCCAACGAACTTGTCTCTACATGCAGACATCGACGCAAGTTCATATTGAGGTACAATCGAACATGTGAAAGCCAGAGAATGTAGCGCGAGCTTTCGTGTGACTTAGGTTTCGTATAAAAATAGTAGGCGATTGAGAGCAAGGGCGCGCTTTTCATTCCATAATTTCTGAAAAATTTTAATTTCAAACGTTATATGTAACCGTTTTTATCATGCGATCACTTTTTTGATGTAGACCCTGCGCTTCACTGTTATAATGGAGTTTAACTGAAGAGTGGGTCACCTTTTCGGTTGCCTACGAAACAGGCTTGTATTAAACACCCATGCACTCAGGATTTGAGTAGTTCACCTACTGGTCTATATACATATATATTTATCATATAGACGCGAGTGTTTTACTGGAAATTATACGACTCGTAAAATTCATAAAAACTACATCCGGGACCCGAGTGGTTTATTTTCCATAATCTCACACGTGAGTTTATCGATGACGTAATTTCCGTAATTTCCCTCCGAAATTTGTAGGCGTTTTGCGTCTTTTGAATTTTACTTACACATTTTTCAAAGGTTTTCTTATATTTTGTCATTGTAGAGCCCTATTCCGTTCAGTGTTATTTCTCAAGATTATTGTAAACAACGTCTTATAATTATTGCTGTACTGTAAATTTGAGCCATCACAATTACATAGAGGAAATTACACGGTGGCGCGAAGATATGAACTTTATTTTCCAGAGGCAAAACAATATTTTACCAACGAGCACAGCGAGTGAGTAAAATATTGTTTTTGCAACGAGAAAATAAAATTCATATCTTCAAGCCGCCATGTAATGTTCGTTTTATTATATAAACAAAAAGACATCGATAAAATAATAGATTTTTATTTGCCAAAAAGTAATTGTGACGGCTCAGATTTACAGTACAGCAATATAAGACATTGGTTACAATAATCTTGAGAAATAACACTGAGCTGAATAGGGCTGTACAATGACAAAATATAAGCAAAGCTTTGAGGAATGTGTAAGTGAAATTCAAAAGACGCAATACACCTAAAAATTTCGAAGGAAAATTACCGAAATTACGTTATCGATAAACTCACGTGTGAGATTATGGAAAATAAACCACTCGGGTCCCGGATGTAGTTTTTATGAATTTTACGAGTGGTGTATTTTCCAGTAAAACACTCGTGTCTATATAATAATAATCTATAATCTATCTGTCGTTCTGTCTATATAATAAAAAGAACATTACACGGCAGCTTGAAGATATGAATTTTATTTTCTCGTGGCAAAAAACAATATTTTACTCACTCGCTGCGCTCGTTCGTAAAATATTGTTTTGCCACTCGAAAATAAAATTCATATCTTCGCGCTATCGTGTAATATCCTCTATATATTTACCTAACCTAACGAAAATTTCGAGCGTTTGAAAAATAAAAAAAAAAGACCAAAAAGCAATCATCGCATACACCATTGTAATTTCCTTTTCTGAACAAAATGTCATGGTCAATTGTATGGAAAGTCTTTGCCAGTTCCATAAACAAAGAACCTGTGACCAAGCCCTTGTCAATGTTCATGAGAATCATATCTGTTCAGTGAAATAGGTGACAGCCGTCCCATTTGAGTGCAGAAAGTGATTTACAGAGCAAATTATGTTCGTCAAAATAACCTGCTCGTGGTTAAACCGTCCTAGGAAGTTAGATACAACAGGCAGTACGGATATATAGAGAGAGATGATTACTTGGGTCATCCTTTGTACATGTACCTGACTTGTGCAGGTCGCGTTTCCATTCTACCGGAATCACGTTTTGTTGGGTTGTTTAATTGAAATCTGATAAATGAGAAAGGGGAAACCAAAGAAGAAGCCACGGCATCTGCTGCGACTTTAAGTGGACGAGATAAGATACCATCAACGCTTGTAACCTTCTTTGATTTTAATTCTTTAAGCGCCTTAAAAACCTCCGATACAGTAATCATTCGCATTTTAAACTTTCTCGAGCATTCCAACTTAGGCAGCCATTTGAGAAATGATTGCCCGTTTGATCAAAGGGCCGATCTTAGTTCTCCCGCAGAAGAGACAAAGAAGCGAGTAAAAATGTTACACTTGTCTTTCGCTTTATTCGCTGTACGAGTAGCAGTGCCAGTACTCTTAGAGCCATTACCAGGTAGCCGTTTAAGGTTTTTCCGGCTCCCTTGCAAGTCACCTTTTGTTCCTCAAGCTGTTGACAAAAATATCTTTGCTTCTCTTTTCTGAGCTTCAAGATCATGGCATTACGTAAGAGCTTATAGGAGTTACAATGGAGTTCATTGTTAGTCTTCAATGCTAGCTTATGAAAGTGACCCCTTTTTTTCATTATATTGTTTGACCTCGCGCGTCAGCCATGGTACCCTTTGTCCCCTGACACGCACACGGATTATTGGGGCATGAGAATCGGTGACAGCACCAAGAAACGGTTTCAGTGGCTGTCTCGCTAAAAGCGAACAAGACCTCACACTCGATTTCGCGACCAAAAAAAATTTTCCTTTATTTTTTGTTGGTGAAGAGGTTTTAGTAGGCATATACTAAAATCGCTACTTTTTGTTTTCAAATTCTTTTTCTTAGCTCTGCTACAAGCCAAAAACGAACTGAGTCCGCCTCGGCCTCTCAAGGAAGGGCTTGAAAGACTAAAATTGACGGATTTTGAGAACCGCGTTGCAAACAAATGCCCGCACGTTAACCTTAAAGAGTTTCCAGGCTAAATATAAATATATTTGATAGCGGGGCTCCCACGCGTAGAATATGGTCAACCTCTTTTCGTTTGGTTGTCACGTGATTGACCGAGCGTACGTACGTACGCGTCTACAATTATACGGGTGGGGTAGGGGAGACTATCAAAAGGAAGGGGTGTCTCAGGCGTGTCTTGGCAAATCCACATCTTTTATATTGGACATTCACAATATGGTCAATTGACAGGTGTCAAAACAGGATAGCCACTGACCAGTATCACATGACCATATCGCGGGCTCATGTGTCAACTCAACGAGGTGACGTGATTTATTGGTAGGTACTTTAAGTAGGGTTATTGAAGTGTATCAAGAATGCATTTAAAATAATAAATTAACATGTATAGCCTTGTATTACTATGTATTGCCATGTATAGCCATGTATTGCCATGTATTACCATGTATAGCCATGTATTGCCATGTATACCCATGTATTGCCATGTATTGGCATGTATAGCCATGTATAGCCATGTAATGCCATGCATAGCCATGCATTACATGGCTATACATACATGGTAATAGCGGGGCTCCCTCGCGCGCGAAGCGCGCGTGGGACAGAGCCCCATACCCAAAGAATATGGTCAACCTCTTTTCGTTTGGTTATCACGTGACTGACCGAGCGTACGTACTTACGTACGCGTCTACAGATTGTACGGGTAGGGTAGGGGAGACTATCAAAAGGAAGGGAGGGGTGTCCCAGGCGTGACAGCTGTCAAAACAGGATAGTCACTGACCAGTATCACATTGCCATATCGAGGGCTCATGTGTCAACTCATCAAGAAATTAATACATCACTTGTCAAAGTCGGAAATCCGATTTCGGATGGCATCGTTTTCGTTTTTCACCTTGCTTGATGCGTAAGGGTTGAAAAGTCTGAAGCGACACTGGCCTCACTTGAAACCTTTCAGGAGCTCCATCTCGAATGGTAAGCCTCAGTAATTATTGTGTTTGATGTTTCTTTTTTTCTATCCAATTTAATGAAGTCGAGCATAGTTTATGCGGCTATGTAGTTTATGCACGTTTGTAAGATTTGAGACAATCTGACCAAGAATCAGGTTTGATATAAGCTTACAGAACTTTAAAAAGCCTTTAGACATTTTCTCACCGCAAATAGAAAGAAAACGTTCCAAAGAACATTTAGTTATAATTCTGGCTGTAAAAGAAAGCTTTGAGCGATTTTCTTGCCTCGAGTTCATCTTTGAAAAAAGTAAATACCGGGAAGCCGGCTTAAAACCTAAACTTAAGCTTTAAGCTTGAAGACTCAGGATTTTTAGAGACACTTTAATACTTGTCTTTGTGAATGAAAAATGTTGTCTCTGTATATGTTTCACCGAATTATATTTCTTTCATTGATTGTTGGTAGTCTCTCTTGTGATTTAATCGCTGTGCCGTTTGCAAGCGATGTTCACTGAACGACTGAAAACAGGGGTACTCAAAATGCCGCGCGTACCAAACGCTTTTAAAGATTACACATCGATAAAACCATTAAATAAAAAATAAACATAATAAATTCTTTATTATGTTGGAGCGTAACTCTATTAATGTTCATTCAAGCAGTAATAGTAGTCTGTTTACGGCACATTGTTATGCAAATGAGGTTAGTCGCCATACAAACCCTTCTAATTTTGGAATGATGAAAGTCAACAGCGGACACCATAGCGGACACCCTAATCGCAACATCCGTTACTATGACAGCGAAGGGAATGATGATGACATAGGAGAAGGTGGCGAACCAATTTTGGACGAATTGTCTTACCCTAATAAGTCGAGTGCAATGCTTAGGGTTAAATCAGTCCAGTGCAGTGCTTAGGGTTAAGTCAGTCGAGTGCAGTGCTTAGGGCTAAATCAGTCGAGGGCAGTGTTTAGGGCTAAATCAGTCGAGGGCAGTGCTAACTTATCCTCGCTTGAAGTCACAGTTGAGTGGATATGGTAATGAAACAGATTAATGTTCGAGAGACCACAGTGACGCCTCCCACCGATTTGCTGATTCAGCAGAAATTGTTTCTATTTTTAGGCGATGACGTCATTATTTTGACTAGAACAGGTATAAAAGACGGATATCAACCATGAAAAATCATTTGAGATCATTGTGTCCTTGTGTAAAGATCGATCATGTGCAAAGCAACGTATCCACGAGCTTGTCCCACATGCGGAAAGACAATCAAGAACAGGGGAAATTTCTTTCGTCATAAGAAACGTTGTGGGACTTCGGAGCATCGCGTTCAATGTCTATACTGTCATAAGACATATTCAAGAAAAGACGATTTGAAGAAACATGTTCGTAAGGTCCATTCCGAAGCAGGAAAGCGAAAAGCAGAAGAGCCGGCTGAACTATTACGCCTTGAGTTATTGCATTCAGACAAAGTTCCAACACTAGTCAGTGATGAAAGTCAGCAGGGTGGCGCTGTGAATACTCGAAGTATGAAAAAAGACCCCGAGAGTGTAAAGGAGGACCTAAAACCTATGAAAGACGAAACACGGGCAGTTAAAAGAAAATTAGAAGACGACATGGACATGTCTCACCGGTTGGATGATGGCAGTGACGACTTTTTGGTAGAGAGAGCCAATCGTTTAGAGCTGTCTGAGAATCCTTTGTTGAAAGCCAATCTCACGTTTCTACCATACAAACGGCAGGGTTTGAAGGGTGCGGTCAAGAAAGAACAATTTTCCGTCACGTTTGATCAGCTACGTAAACCCACAGAAGAGGAATCATTGGGAGAGGGTTTGTCAGAGTCCCTGTTTGAAGCGGTAAGGAACACGATCCTAAACGAAAACCTGCAGGATTCAACAAAAGTTCATCTGACTTTAACCTCAAAGGAACATTCCAACGGCACTGTAAATTCGGGATATTTATCCCACGTAAAATATGGCATCCCAGTCCAAGAGTTTGTGAAACGTGGTGATTATGTACATGCCATGTTCGAGTCACTGGCAAGAAAAATGAATAGCGCTCAAAATATGAATCCAGCCATTGGGTTCAATGCCACTCTCACATTTATCACCTACCCTGACAAAGGTGGCAAAGGTAGAGCTTCTAAAAATCCAAACAGATTACCCTTTGATTTGATGCACAAAAAGAAAGACTGTATGATCAAGATCAAAAACACAGATGACTTATGTTGTGCCCGTGCAATCATAACGATGAAAGAGTACGTGGATGGCGATCCTGACAAGCAATATGATAATCTACGAAGAGGTAGACCTATTCAGGAACGCCTAGCCAAGCAGCTTCACCAAGACGCGGGTGTACCAGAAGGCCCGTGTGGTTATGAAGAACTAGAAAAATTTCAAGCGTTTCTAGGACCCCAAGGCTACAAAATCATCGTGGTAGATTACGTCTCTTGTGCCTGTATTTTTCAAGGCAAAGTGGATCAGTACAGCAAAGTCATTTATTTGCTTAAACACGAGAATCACTACAATGGTTTAAGAAGCATGATTGCTTTTTTGAATCGGTCGTACTTTTGCCCTGATTGCTGTAAAGGGTACGATGTAGACGACGCAGCCCACCATTCTTGTATGGGCCGTAACTGCGCAAGTTGTCAACGAACACGTTCTCAGAAAAATAAAGGGGGCTGCCCAGATTTTTCCCCAGGCAAGAAACGTACAATTCACTGCAATGACTGTCAGCGTGATTTCTATGGTCCAGATTGTTTCAAAACCCATAAAGAACCAAAAGGCAAGAAAAAAGTCAGTCTTTGTCAGAAACTCAAAAAGTGTCTAAAATGCTGTAAAGTTTATAAGGTGAATCCAAAGCAGCAACACAAATGCTACCACGACACTTGCCGTCACTGCCATGAATTTGTTGAAATATACAATCACAAATGTTACATCCAACGTGTTGAAGAGGCAGACGATGAGGAACACGATGATGATGATGATGATGATGACGAAGAAAAGAAGCTACCACCTCTCATGGTGTTTGCTGACATCGAATGTTTGATAGAACCCACAGAGCAGGGAAAGCAGTTATTCATAGCAGATTTGACTCGATATGCTACTGAAGAAGATCCACACAATGTTTCTCATGCCTTTGGTGGCGAAACCTGCATTCAAACGTTTATTGACGCGATGAATCAACTAACAGAAGTGGGAGACAAACAGCGCGATTTATTTATAATTTTTCACAACCTCAAGGGTTTTGATAGCAACTTTATCATCGAGGAACTTTACCGTCAGGGTATTAAGGTGGAAACCAGCTGACGACGGGCGCCAAAACCCTGAAGTTTCATTACTGGTATCTGGATGCCACGATTACCTTCAAAGATTCGCTGTGTTTTCTCCCCATGCCACTAGCAGAGTTGCCTGAAACATTCAATTTCGTGGAGCTCCATAAAGGTTTCTTTCCGCATGCGTTCCATACAAGAGAGAATTTATCTTACAGAGGTCGTCTACCAGCAAAGCAGTATTTTCAACCACAAGCCATGAAACACAAGAAACGAAAGGAGTTTGAAACTTGGTACGAGAGGGAATTGGCAAGACAAGACGACTATGTCCTCTGGGAGGAGTTAAACAAATATTGCCATTCGGATGTGATGGTCCTCAAAGCTGCCTGCCTAAAGTTTAAACAAGAATTTGAAGAAGAAGCGGGGTTTAATCCTTTTGCAAAATGTGCAACCATTGCCTCTGCATGCAATTTATTCTGGAGACGAGAACTCATCCAAGATGATACCATTGCGATAGAACCCTTGATCGGTTGGCGTGGCGCGAATGTAAATCAGAGCACAGCAGCACTAGAATGGTTGTGTTTTGAAGATTTCAAACTAGGAGGAGACAAAATACGCCATGTAAGGAATGGTGGGGAGCAAAAGGTGATTGCCCAAGGCGAGGCCCTGTTTGTTGATGGCTATGACGACACCACCAAAACGGTCTACGAATTTCACGGCTGCTTTTTTCATGGATGTATCAAATGTTTCCCCAACCATCGTTACAGAAAGCACAACTGCCATCCAGATCGCACCATCTCAGAAATTTATGAAGCCACCTGCAAAAAGACACAGAAGTTACGTAACGCTGGCTATACAGTGATTGAAAAATGGGAGCATGATTTTGAGATTGAGAAGAAGACTCACCCCTCTCTGATCGAATTTTTGAAGACCTTTCAGCTGTCTGAGCCATTGAACCCTAGAGATAGCTTCTTTGGTGGTAGAACCAATGGAGTGCATTTACATTGTGTTGCAGCAGCAGGAGAAGAAATTCGCTATGTAGACATCAATTCGCTTTACCCGTACGTCAACAAAACAAAAACATATCCAGTGGGTCACCCCAAGATTTTGGTCAATCCAACAAATCAAAATGTTGGCAGTTACTTTGGCATAGCAAAAGTTACGATTCTCCCACCACCCCATCTGCATCACCCGGCACTCCCAGTTCATATTGGTGGCAAACTCATGTTTCCCCTCTGTACACAATGTGTAAAAGAAGAGCTGGAAAACCATGGCTAACTCGTACAACGGTTTGCACCCACTCTGAGCAGGAACGTTGTATCACAGGCACCTGGTGTACTCCAGAGTTGCAGAGAGCAGTGGACTTGGGCTATAGGATTCTGAAAATTCACGAGGTGTGGAATTTTCCACAAAATCAACGCAAAGAAGGGTTGTTTGCAGACTACGTCAATAAATGGCTGAAAAATAAAACAGAGGCATCGGGCTGGCCCAAGAATTGTACCACAGAGGCAGCAAAGTCAGCATACATCAATGCTTACTATGACCGTGAAGGTGTGCAGCTGGAGCATGCAAAAGTAGCAAAAAATGGGGGACGGAAACAAGTGGCAAAACTTATGTTGAACTCGTTAGTATCTTTTGTTTCGTAGCATTTTACTTTGCAGGATGAAAATCGTTGAATACTTAATCTTATGTCTTTTCTATTTGCTTTTCCAGCTTCTGGGGCAAATTTGGTGAAAAACGAAACAAGACTCAAACCTTTACCGTCACAAGTCCTGCAGAGCTATATGCAATAATAGAAGATGTTGGTAACAACGTTCACGACATACGAATTTGCACTGATGATATAGTAGAAATTGATGTCAGTAAAGCTGTAGAAGAGGTCATTCCAAGCAATAAAACCAACATTTTTATCGCAAGTTTCACCACGTCATGGGCTCGCTTAGAGTTGTACAAGTATTTACAGCTGCTGAAAGAGCAGGTCCTATACTTTGATACAGACAGCATCATTTATCTTTGGCGTAACGGTTTACCCGAAGTGGAGACAGGCCCGTTTTTGGGTCAGATGAAAGACGAAACCGCTGGCGTACCCATACAGGAGTTTGCGACAGGGGGTCCAAAAATTACACTTACATGCTACAAAATGGTGAAACAGAATGCAAAATACGAGGTTTTACTCAGGATGAGCAGGGCAGCGCTCTGTTGAATTTTGAGTCCATGAAAAACCACATTTTAGGTGCAATCAACAACCCAGGAAATGCACCACACCCCATTGCAGTACCAGTGAGCATCAACATGGAAACAAATAGAACCAACAAGAAAATCTGTCTTACACCTAAAGTTAAGAATTATCGCCTTGTCTTTGAAAAACGAGTGATTAACCCATTGGACTGTAGCAGCAGGCCTTATGGCTATGACTGGATAGGCCAACACACCTGCACTAGGCCTCCTAAGGCTTTTTAAGTTAGCATTTTTGCCTAGAGATGTGTACGCTAGGTTATTGATTCAATAAACGTGTGTAAGGATTATTTCTGTGTGATTGATTTACCTGACTACTTATCTCTTAAACAGAGCTAGATTGCCCTAACCCCACTCCCTTGCCCTAAAAACACTCTCTTCCCCTTACCCCTGACACTCTAACAGAGATTGCGAGGGTCTGGATCCTAGTGAGATGGACTTGCTGACTCAGCGTTTTTCAGGTATAATAAGTAGAATGATTTTAGCGCACGTGTCAAACAGCAGTCACAATGCAGACGGTATCAATGCAAGATTTGGAACAATTTTCATACTGGCAAGGAAAACGTCTGACTAGTTCTCATTGCTATGATATTTACAACCCAGTGATTTCTGTGGAGTTGATGGAATTAGCTGATCGTGTGGTAGCTAATAACGATTTGGTGGTGGAAATTCAATTGGATTTGTGTATTCAACAACTACGTGTCCCTGCTTGGCATGAAAGTCTGTTGATGTCTATGAGCGATGCTTTATTACGTGCACTTCAACGTTGGATTACACGTCATGGGTATCCAATGAAATCACAATGTTATGTTTCATTGCAAGCAGTCCAACCGTTACCTCTGCCTTTAACAAGATGCCTTGGGGTGTTGACAAATATTCCCATCTTTGCATTCTTTCCTTCGACGTGTAACTTAGCACGCACCATGTTAGCCCTCTTTGATTGGTTAAGTTATGGCTGGTTGATTACACAATTACAAGCACTGTGTATGGAATTTAAATTAGTTATCATACTGATCCACGAGAACAATAGCGACTGACGTCATCATGTAATTAACGGACTCAACAATAGATTGACGTCATTCCATTAATCCATGACAACAAAAGCCGTTGACGTCATTGGCTGTAAATACAAAAGACTTGTCCAGACCTGCCCAGTGAACGTGATGGTAACAAACAATACATGACCCAAGCATACAGAAAATCTCTGGGGATCACTTTTGAGTACAAGTGCTAGGCAGTTTTCCCTTTTCAACTCATTACGTCTTTGTGCTAATAACGACGATGCAAAAGATAACGTATCCTAGACCTTGTCCTACTTGTAGGTAGAGTTTTAGCAAAGGCCATTTCTTTCAACATAAAAAGAGATGCGGTACAACAGAAAATCCAGTGAAATGCCCACAGTGTTACTTAACTTTTGGATACAAACACGTTATGTTACGACGTGTAAGACAGCAACATTCGAACAACCCATTGCATTTTCCATGTATGATTTGTGATAAGGTATTGACATCTGCTCAACCCTACACATGAAGACCGCTTATGGTGATGAAAAACCTTGCTTTGACTGCTGGTACTGCAATGCCACGTTAACATGACAAAACGCAAGACAAGATCACATGCGTCGTGTGCATGGACGTATTTGTAGAGAGCGAGAGGTAAATTTGTATCTTCATTCGCAACATTTAAGTGAAGAGAAGAACTTCAAGAACGAGTGACAATTTGCGGAATCCAGACCCATTGAACACGGCGAACATAACGTCAGCCTTTGTGGTCAAACACACATAGAATCGTACTTCTTTGTAGAAACAAATGGAACAGGAATCGCACCTTCGTGGACTCAGATTGTGTAACAAACGTGGATCCCAAAGCAGCAGTTGTAATTGCTTATTTCAAGCATATTTTTGAAAACACAATGTAAGGGACATACAAGGGACAAGATGAGAGGGGGATTACAGCGATTCGCAGTTCGCACAAACACTACGTTAGTACAGCGCCTGCACATAGTGGACCATTTACACCCACAAGTAAAAAGATACCCAGAGAGCGAATGGGAAGTAGTGGTTGTCTACGCTGAAGCAGAGACTTTGATTGTAGGTAAAACATATTCTCTGAAGTTAAAGGCCAAGTATAAACAAGGGCAGCTTACTTTCTCAGCATTGTAATTTCACTAGGTACGTCATTTGCTATATAAGGTAAATAAATCACACATTGTTTATACATTTCAACTGACTGTGTTTTATTCACTGACTGTTTTCTAATTTACTACAAAGTTGGGTATATTTTGACTGCAAGTCTGCGAGCTCTTGCTGGAGTTGAGCCACAGTAGGTTTCTTGGTTTTTTTAGGGGCCTTGAGCTGCTGACGATCACCTTCCCGTTGCTTCCTCATAGTTTGATAACTGTCTTGATCTTGAGAGGGTTTCTTCTCTTCTCTCTTGAATCATTTGATCCAAAATGACACTTTGCACTTGATCACAGGCAGCATTGACGATAGCTTGAGCTTCGGGGGAACTCATTTTTGGGTATGGTTTTATAGATTTCATTCTTTGCGGAAACGTACCATTCTTGAGATGTTTTTTGAACCCTTTGAGGGTATGCTCTCGATACTTGATTCTAGCTTTGATCGTCATCAGTTTTTGTCGATAACCCTTCAACCTGGTCTTGGCAGGCATGGTTTTTTCGGTGGGTTCATTACCAGTCTTGGTAGAAAGTGCTTCTACAGAACAACCCATAACAGACATGTTACCTCTACGTAATCGAACGTACAACTGATAATGATAGACACAAATCCATTCTATTTATAGCCTGAGGCGAGGTATAAGAGAAAGGGGTGTACTATTCTATCTATCATTTATCACAAATCATCATGTGGATAGGAGGGTATGATGATTGGACTCCCGCAGAACAGCGTGAATGGGATAGAGATCTAGAGGAAATGCAAGCTGAACGTGAGCAGAGAGAACGTGAGGCTAAGAACGAGGATAAACTCTCCTGGATGGAATTGGCTCTGGATTATCCAAAGTTTAAAGCCACTTATACCAAAATTGGAGACACAGATTTGTATGTGGTAGATCTAAAGCGACAGACACCTAGCAAACAAGGGGAACGCAACTTAGTGTTTGAAGTCGTCTACCCATTGTATCAAGGCCTGAATGCCATCCTTGAGAAAAGAAAAACACCCCAGACCTCTCTCATCAAAATAGAAGCCTCCTCCAGAGAACATGTTGAGGTGACCTACTCGTGTGAATGTACCCCTGACCAATGGTCTTATAACATCATGGACAAAATCTCCGAAGCCTTAGCTGACCAACTAACCATGAAACAAAACCTGGATCAAGGACTGCTGATGAAGATTTCTTTCTATGAGGAGTAAAAAAGATTGCAGTAAAACTCTGCAAGTTAATTTCGTAACATGTTGAAAAAGTCTGCAAGTTAATTTCGTAACGTGTTGGAAAAGCCTGCAACTAACAATGATATCATGATTTTATTCAGGAGTGGTTTCAGCGGCCTACATCGACCTTCATCGGCCTACATCGGCCTACACCGGTCTACATCGTCCTATATCGGCCTACATCGTCCTATACCGGCCTACATCGTCCTATACCGGCCTACATCGACCCGAATACTATAAATAGACAACGAGCACTCTTGTGTGACGATCATTTTGTGTTAAGTTTTCATTGCGTTAACATGCCCTACAAGTTCAGACGCATGTGTCCTATTTGTTATAGACAGGATTTGCTTTACTTAGCAGATCATTTACGTCAAGTGCATAAGTTATCGAGTGAGGAACGACAACCGCTATTAAAGGCAGCGTTATTTTCTCATCAATTGCCTCCCTCGTTTTCACCAAGAGTTCATCCTCAAGGGCTGTATACACATCCCATTTTACAAGGACTGCCACAATATCCTATGACCATGAACCCACAGTTACAGCAACCCAGTGGGCATCAAGGTACTAAACAGCAACCACGAAAAGTAGCCAAGATCGAAGCAAGGCCGTGTTTACAGATGACACCCTATCCGGACTTTAAGTTTAATCACATGTTCTCGATGCTGGTAGTAGGCCCGACTCAATGCGGGAAAACATATTTTGTTGAACAGCTGCTAACAAAGAATTGTATCAAGTACCCTAGCAAGAAATCTACTCGTATTTACTGGTTTTATAACCAATGGCAACGTTGCTATGCAACTTTGCAAAGAACGCTGGGTGATGAGATAGAGTTTGCCCAAGGTTTACCAGACCTGAGCGAAGATCTAAGGGAAATTGACCCCAAGTTTAACAACGTGTGGGTGTTTGATGACCTCATGAGCCAGGCCACAGATAGTCCACTACTTTCGCTGTTATTTACTCAAAGGAGACATCGCAATGCGAGTGTGATATTATTGCTGCAAAATATGTTTCCCAAAGGAAAATTCAACACTGATATCAGCAGGAATGCTCAGTATATGGTCCTCTTTCGTAGCCCTAGTGATCGTAAGCAGATGGATATAATAGCAGAACGGATTTTTGCAAAAGACAAATCCAACTTTATGAGTGCCTATGTGAATGCAACCGAAAAGCCTTATGGGTATCTGTTGATAGACAACCAAACCAAAACTCCTTCAGACAAACAGGTAGTCGCTGAGGTGTTTGAAAACTGTCACAGCTATCCCAAGATAACCACGGCTACTATACCCGCAAAGAACGAACCGCAGTTAGAGGCGACAATTCAAAATCCAAGCGAATCTCCTCTACAATCTAAACATTCACGAAAGCGCAAAGTAGAGCGGCAGACACAAGGGGCTAAACGCAACAGACCTACAAAGAAACAAAAGAAACATCCTGAGGCAAAACACGTTAAAGAAACACAGCGAAAACAACAGGGAAAGACAGGCTATACATCTACATTAAAACTCTCACCGGACAGAGACGGCGGAAATGAGAAACGTTTGAACTTTGATGAGGAACCCATTCATTTAACGCAACA